GTAGTATAGTTGCACAGCCTCCTCTATCACTTGAGCTGGGTACTAAAGGAGTGCCCCTCGTGTGGGCTGAGTACACCCTCCTCTTGTAGTTGAGCCTTGATTGATATTGGTGGGTCAATGTGAAGGACTTATCTGGGACAGTCAGCTGCAAGGACTGGATGTGAACACTGACCACCAACCTCTGCACTCCAAGGAAGATCAACTTTGCAGGGGCTGGGTGGTGATGCTCCACCATGGTCTGTAGCTGTCACCTGGTTGCATAGGCTCTGGAGTTTCCCAGGTGATGCAGGTCAAAGTCCTCTCTGACCTGTGTTTTGCTCAGGGCCACACTGCCTGAACTCGAAAGCAATCTGAGATGGCTGCCACTTGTGCTGGGCTTGGAGATTCCCAGGTGAAGCCAAGCTGTGAACCTATGCTGGTTGCTGCTAGTGCCAGGTCTGGGGCCCTTTAGCAAGACATATGGGGGTTGGGAGGTTACTGAGGCCAGCTGTTGCTTGTTTGAGAGAATTTAGTAAGTTGTGAAGCATGAGCCAAGACTAGCCATTCATATGGAAAAGTCACAGTTAACAGTGTATGGGCCCATAATTTGGGTAGGACTGTCTCAGGGGTTCCAGGGTGGGGCAAACACTTTTAGCTAGGTTGATGGAGTGTCAGATATAGCACCTGCCTGCTGGCTTTGTGGCTCTGTGTGGGAAAGGCTCAGCAAAGGGACTATGGCCTCTGTCTACCTTTCTGTCTGGGAGAAAGCTGTCCCCCAGCTCCCACCTTGATGCCAGACAGTTCACTTCCCCCTGTATGCTACTCTCAGCTACTACCCTGGTGCTAGAGGTCAGAGGTAGTGAGTCTAAGTAGGTCTATGTGTGGGTTCTTTAAAGGGAACTGTTTGGGACTCTAGAAGATTTTTCTACCGACTCAATCCCCACATGTTTTTGCTACTAGGAGTTAAGGGGACTTACCTTCCTGGCACTGGAACCCTGGGCTGGGGGGCCTGGTGTGGGGCTGGGACTACTCGCTCCCAAGATAACCCTCCCAAATTCTTACCCATCACACGTGAATGTGGGACCTACCCATTCTGTATCCCCGCCCCTCCTACCAGTCCAGGTAGATGTGGTTTCTTTAATTTCTTAGTTGTCAGACTTCCATTCAACTTGATTTCTGACTATTCTGACTGATGGTTGTTCTATATTTTAGTTGTAATTTTGATGTGGTTGTGCAAAGAGGCAAGCCATGTTTAACCTATCTGCCATAACGATCAGAAGCCTATAACTATCAATTTTAAAATCCCTGTTTTAATTAGGCATTTGGTCTTCCAGAACTAGTGCAATCAGAAATACTCTTTGAGTATCAAGAATGGATCAAATATTTGCAAATCATATATCTAACTAGGGTTTTTTTCTTATTCATTATGATTTATACCAGGGATGTCAAATTCATTTACACCAGGGGTCACATCAGCTTCATGGTTGCCTTCAAAGGGCGAAAATAATTTTAGGACTGTATAAATGTAACTATTCCTTAACTGTTAAGGAGTTGAAATTACACTCAGCCCTTTGAAGGCAACCTCAAGGCTGATGTGGCCCCCTGGTGAAAATGTGTTTGACACCCCTGAATATTCTCAAACATTCTTGGAAAATGTGAGCGAATCCAGGTACATGTCTTTACAATCTACGCAATGAAAGACTAAATATTGTAAGGAAAACAAGAAGTGACCAATTTTATATGTGGACCACATCTTTTTTTATCCATTCATCTACAGATGGGATATATAGTGTCTGCCCTGTCTTGGTTATAATGGACCAGCTGGGTACAGCATAGGTAATAAACATTCTAATAACTATATATGGTTCAGATGGATGTTAGTCTTATGGGGGAGAACCCTTTGTATTTTTTGTAAATTTCTAATCATTATGCTGTATACCTGAAACTAACATAATACACTATACCAATTGTAATTTAAAAAAAATTTTTAAAGTGGCAAATTTTATCTCTATCTATGTATCTATTCATCTATATATCTATCCACTGTTCCGAACTATTTTAATGTAAACTTCTTTCCTGTAGCTAAAGATATTACTCTAAAACCATGTTACCTTGTTCTGGATCACAAAAGTTGTTGACAGTTTGCCAATTTGTATTTCAAAAATAAAACTCTTACTCCTAACCTTACATAAATGTGTGATCTGTGTCATTTTTAAACTTATATTCTGAATCTAAAAAAAACATTCTGTCCTAAAGCCCACCTTTTCAAAATGCACAAACCCCACAAAGGTAAGCAAACAGGATATTGTGCGTACTAGGAAACTGCTTAGCAGGCCTTTCCAACCAAGAAGTGAAGACTCCATCTCGACGTCACTCAGGGTTGGGGTAGTGACTGGATGTGGCTGTGGGGCAACCACAGGCCCACGAAGGACATCCAAGCCCTTGGTTCAGCTTGGGGTCTGGCTTGACTCTCCCTCATCTTTCATATTGTTAATGAGTACAGAATTTTAATTTGGGATGATGAAAATGTTCTGGAGATGGGTAGTGGTGATGGTTGCAGAATAATGCGAATGTACCCATGTACTATGATGAACTGCATACTTAAAACTGGTAAAAATAGCCCTGGCTGGTGTAGTTTAGTGGATTGAGCATGGGCCTGCAAACTAAAGGATCACGGTTCAATTCCCAGTCAGGGCACATGGCTGGGATGCAGGCCAGTTCCCAGCAGGGGACATATGAGAGACAACCATACACTGATATTTCTCTTCCTTTCTCCTTCCCTTCCCTTCTAGAGATAAATAAATAAGATTAAAAAAATAACATAAAAAACTGGTAAAAATAGTAAAATATATGTTATGTGTATTTTCCCACAATAAAAATTAAAAATATACACTTCAAGGATGAAGATTTATCACTGTGACAGCAATGGGATGTGGGGAAAGGTTGGTGTACTCCTTTTCTCTCCCTTTCTCCAACAGACATCATCCCCTATCATTTCATGACTGGTTATTGTCTCCTATTTGTCCATTTGGACTCTTATTTACTCTGAATACCACTACCAAATATCCACATAGCTACTTCCCTCTTTGTCTTTTTTTTTCTTCCATAGTTTCTAAAAAGAAGTCTGCTGTATTTCTTATTTTTCCCCTCTGTAAGTAATGTACCTTTGTTCTCTGTCTGCTTTTAAGATATTTTCTCTTTATTATTGGTCATATCTAGTAATGAATTTATAAGAGACAGTGTCAGTGGTAGAGAGGAAAACAACAGGAGCCGACCAACATCTCACTGCTATCCTGGTAATAAATCTTCATTGTTGAAGAGCATTTCTGATTGTGCAAGGATACTATATGGACCAGAAGACCCTGTTTTTCAAAACTATGAGATAATGTAAACTTCTATCACACCATACACCTATGGACCACCTTAGGAAAAGAAGCAGTGAAGGGTATGGGGAAGTTATCTTGGAGACGGATTTTTCTTTTTCCTAAAACATGTGTTTCTTGTAGGACCCAGTTAAATTATTTAATCAGATAAGGCTTAAAACAACAATAGCAATTCTGAAAGGACCTATATCTAAAAACACAAGTTGGAAATATATGAAGCAATGTAACTAGTGCCCCTGGTGTTGTGCAATGCACTGGCCCTGCTTACCAACCTCCTTCTCTTTTCATTTCACATTATTCATGTCTCTGTTCAATGATCCTTCCTCGGAGAGCTTTTAAAGTAATCGTTTTACCCAAAACAGCCATTTCCTCAAACATTCCTAAACCTTGCTTTATTTTTCTTCATAGCATTTAATCACATGACATTTTAGTATTTATTGGTTACTTGTTAATTGTTAGTATCCTCTACTAGAGAATAAGCACCAAGGATACATTTTCATTGTCTTATTCATATCATATACCCAGGAAATAGATCAGAGCATATGCTCAATAATATTTGTTGAATGAATGAATTTATCTAACTATGTATTTACTTTATATTATTTACATCGAGTATATATTTGACATTTATTTCACTATTATGTTACTAAATCTGACATTAATTGTCATTTTCACTTGTATCATTTATCCACTCATTGTGCAGTCACTTACTAAGCCTCTACTTTGTGTTATGTATATAGTTAGCATGAGAGGTGTATAAAGAAAGATTTCCGTAAAGAAGTCCCCACTTCCTCACGAACAAATTTAAAGTCAACGTTTTTAGGAGGCAAAGATTGTACACCCTAAATCCAAGGGGAAAATTAATTTTTATGTTTTTAAGAACACTCGAGAAGTTAGGTTTGTTTCTGGAAATGTGTAAGAGTCATTCTGCTTCCTACCAGCCCATCCAAGGAGCCCAACTCATTTTGCCACCAGTGTCAAGTCAATTTTCCTAGCCAGCCTTGTTCTAAGATCCTCCCTTGGTAATTGATAGGTGGAGAAATCCCACTAAGCACCCCCCCCAACACACACACACACACACACACACACACACCCCACACACACACCCTCAAAATCCCACTAAGCACCACCCCCCACACACACACACACACACACACACACACACACACACACACACACACACACACACACCCTCCTTGTCATACCGTGTAGCGCGACCTGTGGGAGGGGCTGCTGAATCGACCAATGGAAGGAAGCCGGAGTTAGAGCCTTTGTAAACAAACGCAGAGGTGCTGTGCCTTGGGCTCCTCCCATCCAGACACCCAATGGGTCCCATTACCTATCTAGGACTAGCATAGCGTCCTTTCAGCCAATAAGAGCCGGAGTCTCCCGCAAGGAGGCGCCCCACTAGGAGGGAAAAAACGAAGGGAGCGAAGAGACAGATGTTAATACCAATCAAAAGCTGGGACTTGTGAGGGAGTGGGCAGTAACTACTTCACATGTAAGCCAATAAGCGCCACACGTGCCCCTCTAGGTGACTGAGCGGCATCCTCTTCAACCCAATAGACGAATAGGGCGGTGCCCAGCAACCAATGGCTTGGGTTCGGGGGCGGGGTGAGGAGTCAGTGAGCTGTAAGAGGCAACCTGGCGAGTGCTCATCCGTGCTGTGGCTCACGCTTTAGTAGTGGAGGCCGAGACTGTTCTGGCGACGACGACCTGTACGGCGACGGCTGAGGCTCGCAGAAGAGCGTCGGAATAGGGTCTGAAGGAGAGGCTTCAAGTCAGCCCAGGTGGGCTCAGGCGCCCGGGCTGCAGGGGAGGGGACCCGCGGGAAGCGCCGCTCTCCCGGTTTGGGGGTAGCCCCGCGCCTCTTTTTCCGCCACCTCCGGGGCTGTGAGGGGCGGCGCGTGCCCGCCCGAGCTCCAGTGGGGAGGGTAAGCCCGCAGGTCCCACGTCGCATCAGCTGCGGTGCCCCTTCGCCCTTGGAAGCACGGGGCTTCTTAGTCCTTTCCTTCCCTCAAAGGCGGGCTATTCATCTCCCACCTCCCAAGTTCTCTAGCTCCCCCCCTGAACCCCCAACCCCCTTCTAACACTTGGACTGAAATCTCTGGGATGCAAGTCCCTTTACTACCTCAGTGCAACACAGCCAGGCAAATTAACCATTGCCGCATCTCCCGGTCCTCCTTCCCGCGGTTGCGCATTTTTGCCCCTCCCCCATTCGCGGCGGCCCGTGAGTTTTTGCGTTTCTTCGATTCCTTCCTCCACTCCCTTTACTCCTGCCCACATTCTTGATACCTAATTTGAGTTAGGGACCGTGGCCACTTCTCTTCTGCTTTCCCTAACGCGAGTGAGTCCTTTACGCTCCTCCCCCTACCCCGCTCCCCACATTTCATGCTCATCTCTCACGGAAACTAACATTTTCCACTTGCCTCCTCCAGACAGCTGGAAGGTGAACACCGGAGAGGCAGACTGCACTGTACAAGGAGCTTTACAAGGTTGGAAACTTTAATCAGTTTGTAAATGGTAAACCATTCTTGTCTTCCTTAAAACAGCATTGGGTCATTGTATCCTCTCTAGAAACTTTGTCCCAGTAGAGTTGTTTTGGTGACAATTTCTGAAAATACAATTGAGAAGGATGTACTGGCAACGAGAAATTTAACATGTATTATTGTTTTTAAGTAGATAAAATTGGGTGACATTTTAAACAGCTTAATTGAAGTGTCAGGGAGTTTGCAGTGTGAGGGCTTGACCGCTCTAGTTTGTCATAAATTATAGACTATAAGTTAGCTGTCTAGCACAATGTAATTTGATCACACCCAGCCTATGGATAATATGGCCTTGACACTGCTTAAAAATGACACTCTCTATTCCCCTTTCACAGAGAATTTGTATTCGTCTTCATAGTATATCAGTTTGGGTTTCAATAGTGTTGATTCTAGCCATATGTTCTAGATAATACTGCAAACTACATTGTTCCTAAATAAAATTATGCCAAGAATTGCATGGGGAAAAATAATTTGCTGCACTTAGATGTGATTGAGACTTTAGAGAGTTTAAAAAATAACAACCTGGGTATTGGAGAGTTTGGTAACTAAGAGCTTTGTTTTGGGTAATGGGGGAAGTTGAAGTATTGAGACAAGCCTTGATGGGCCCATTCGGCTGTACATGTATGAGAGTGCATGTAGAAGAGAGAAAATACATATATAAGTGCTTAGTTTCATGATTTTACATGAGTTGGAATTGTTTTTCATAGTTCTCAGTGGTGAATTGTAAGCAGTGAATTTAATATCATGTCCATGCTATTTTGGCCAGAATTTTGCAAGGTTTTGTGAAAAATTGTCACCATTTTTCTTATTCTTTCTGTAACATATATCAGTATGCTTCCATGTATGGTTAGACTGTATGTTGTATATTGAGTAATAAGTCTAGTAGAATGAATTAAAAGGAATCTTTACTATGAGGAGACAGCTTTGTCTAGTGGACCATATGTTTGAGCCCTACTAACAAATCACACTAAAAAGAGGAAAATCTCTTAAAGCTGTTCCAATGAATTACAGGTGTTTAAAATAAGAACAATAAAAATAATTTATGACAGAATTACTGGCAGTCAAAAAGAAAAGTCCTGGACAAATAGCAAAACTATGAGTGGGTCACTATTGTGAGTTGGTATAAGCTGCAGTTGAAACCAAAGTTATTTTTGTACAGTCTTTTCGTGTGGATTTGTACTTATAATTACTCGTTTGCAAATTTAAAGGAATATAGTTAAGATGTCTTCCTACAGATCTTGCCTTTAAGGAGTTCCCAGTTTAATAGAGACCTGTAAACAAAGAATTAAATGTAGTAAAGGATGTGAACAGGACCCGAGTCAGAACCCTGTCACATCTCCAACTGCTCTAGACTTTCTGAAGCGTCATTTTCCTGAACCTGCCTGTTTATTTAGCACACCTTGGCGTCTCTCTGTAGGCACTGTTCTCTTCTACAGTGTAAGTGCCTAGTGAGGTGCTATTCAGAATCTTCGTGAAGCTTGCCTCTGGCCTCTGCTCTATCCAAACAATTGTTTTCTGTATCTTTTTGTTACTTTGTTATAAATAATTGCAGTTGATTCTCATTATTCACAGTAATTATGGTCTATAAAGTCACCTAGATTGACAAATTAGCAAATACGGAACCATTGCTCCCAGGGAAAATCTGTTCATACATACATACATGTGTCACATAGACTGTCAGATACTAAATACAACTCATCCTGGTAGATTCTGGTTTTTTATTTTTACAAAAGAGAAAATGAGGTTCAGAAGTGTTGAGTGACTTATCTGAGGCGGCTCTGAGAGTTAGGATTCAAACCCTTTCTTATCCGGCTCCAGTGGAAAAGCTTCTTGCACTGCACTGCACTGCCCCCTACTGTTTGTGTCCGTCAGTCACCTCTGTATGAGTGTTGAAAGAGAACACTGCCTGTGTTCTACTTTAGCTGGAAATGTGAGGGGCAACTCAGAGTTTTTGCCATTCTGTGCATGTCTGTGAATGACTGCACAGGCGCCATGAGTATTGATTTTAGGATTACAAATAAATTTTAACAAGCAGGTAAATTCTTTTTTTTTTCATTTTTTAAATTATTTTATTATTGTTCAATTACAACTGCCTACATTTTCCAACCCCACCACCCCAGCTAAAATCACCTCCCTCCCTTGCTTCCACACTCCCCCTTGTTTTTGTACTTGAGTCCTTTATAATAGTTCCTGAAAACCGTTTTCCCCATTGTCCCTTCCCCCTTCCCCTCTGGCTATTGTTAGATTGTTCTTTTTTTTTTTTAAATTTTATTTAGTTATTTTTCAAGTACAGTTTTTTCTCTATTTTTCCCATCCCAGCCTCCCCCGCCCCTTGCTCCCCACCTCCCTCCCATTTCCACCCCCCTTAGTTCTCGTCCCTGTGTCCTTCCTATTTGTTCCTCCAAATCCCTCCCCCTTTTTCCCCTTAACTTCCCTTCCTTCTCCCCTCAGCAGGTAAATTCTTGAACACAGGATCCATAAATAACGATGATCAAGTATACTTGTAAATGATCCCTGGAGTCTGTTTTCTGGTACATGCCCCCAATCCACTGTAGATTCGTTAGCTTCCTTGAGAATTCATTCACTTATTCATTGATTCAACAGTTTTTAACTAAGCACTTACTAAGTGAGGATCTGTTCCAGACTGTCGTGAACAAATTAAAGATTAAGCTCCTGTCCTTACAGATGTTATATTCAAGTAAGAAGGACAGACAACTAGCAGTCCAGAGCTCAGGGGAGAGGTCCAGTTTGGAAATTATAGCTTAATTTGACCAAGGTGAAACCTAGTGCGCCCCTCCCACTTCACATCCCCTACAATACTGACTTCCAGAACATTTCTGTTCTGCTCAGTACATAAACACTTCCTTTTGAGCCAAGCCATGCCCTTGATGATCTCCTTCAAGTTCAGCCTGTCCTTGGCTTGGGTTCTGAGTCATGGTCCACTCTTCAGTGGCTGAAGAGCTAGGATTGGGTTCATGCTTTATCTGTCCCACAGACTATAGTGTATACAAAAGGAACCCCGTGGAGGCAGTTTCTTCAGAAGACATTTGAGACTACTGCAATCCTTTTTTTTTTTTTAAGATTTTATTTATTTATCTTTAGAGGGGAAGGGAAGGAGAGAGGGAGAGAAACATCAATGTATGGTTGCCTTTTGTGCGTCCCCTGCTGGGAACTGGCCTGCAGGGAACCTGCCTGCAGCCCTGGCATGTGCCCTGACTGGGAATCGAACCGCGATTGTCTGGTTCGCAGGCCCGCGCTCAATCCACTGAGCTACACCAGCCAGGGTACTGCAATCCTTATAGTTTCCTGAATGTCTGCCCAATTCAAATACCTATCATGTGCTCGTAGATAATGTTCAGTAAATCTTCCTTTTGGTGCTGCATTTATTATTATTATTGTGTGGTTATTTTGTTCATATGGCTGTCTTCCTTCCTAGACTGAGCTCCATGAGGCAGGATCCACATCTTCATTCTTCTGTCCTTGGCACTCAGTACGCTGCCTGTTATATATTAATAGATGTACAAATGTATGACTTGAGGAATTCCTAACTCTTCCTGAAAGCATGGGAAAATATGAAGGCTTCCTAGAGAAGGTAGTGTGTAAGCTGGTTCCTAAAGGGTAAGTAGGAATGCCTTCCCAGTGAATAAAATCTTGAGACAGCATGCTAAGCAGGGACCAGCAGGTGCAAAGGCCAAGAGATATGGAAGGTTACTGAACACTCCTAGTAGATATTTTTAAAGCAAGCAAACAAAAAATATCTAAGGAAAAAACTATGAGTGGACTTGGCCAGAGAGCATGTCACAGCTGAGCAACTGGCTGACCATGACCACAGCTACTCATTAGGAATGTAAATTTTAGGGAGAAACATTCTTAACTTGTTGGCAGGGTATTAGTTATAGTTTAGAAAATCAAGTGTTGAACTCTGGGAATTGTTACACTAAAGTGAAATTACTTATTTTGTCATGAAGCTCATATGTGTCCCGCACCATTCAAAGTGTTCAAAATCTAATCAAAGAGCTCACAAGCTAGCAAAGAGACGGATGGACTGGCTGATTTATCATGTGATAAGTGAGGTAGTAAAATGCTGTAAGAAGAAAGGACTAGTTAGTAATATATGAAGCACTGGGCAGAAATTTTCTCAAATGAGGTGATAATTGAGCTAGAGTAAGGAATTCACTAAATTGAAACTAGGGATTGAAGAATTCATATTTTATAGTAGGAGAGATTAATAATTATCCATTTTTGCTCTATCTGTTGTGGGGTTCAGTTACTAGTTATATTTATTTAAACAGTTTTCTGAACACAATGGGAATAGTTATATCTTTTTTAAAAAGATTTTATTTATTTATTTTTAGAGAGAGGGGGAGGGAGGGAGAAAGAGAGAGAGAGAAACATCAGTGTGTGGTTGCCTCTCACATGCCCCCCCCCCCCCGGGGACCTGGCCTGCAATCCAGGCATGTGCCCTGACTGGGAATCAAACTGGTGACCCTTTGTTTCACAGCCCGCACTCAATCCACTGAGCTGCACTAGCCAAGATATGAATAGTTATATCATAGTAGAACTTTGTGTCAAAATAAACTGGTTTAACCAAAGGTTTCTGTAATGCTAGACTTCTCTAGAGCCTTTATTACATTATTGTCCATTGTGAACTGTGGATTTCCAAAAGGGGTACATTGCATTTAACCATGGTTTCTCCTCCTTCCCCCTCGTGCTCCCATCCCCACCTTCAGAGCGTATGTAAACATCTTTTGCAATACAATTATGTGAGACATAGTTTGAGGAGTGATGAATTACAATATATGTTTGTCAAACCGTGATTTATCAGTGCTCTCCATGTGCCTTGTAAAATAATCTGTAGAATCTTACAGGAAAGAAGGAGAGACATTTGGAAAGAAAGAATATATTCTAACCAAGTTATATCACCCTCCTCATTGAAAAGTATGGCTTATTCATATTTTGAAATTTCATTGGAGACACCCTGAGGCGTTACGAAACCTGAACAGAAGTCAGTGCTGGGGGCAAAGGCAAAACTGTCTTAAAAGTGAGAATCTTCCAACTTAAGAAGATACTGCTTTCTTTATGTGTTCATATTAAGCCATATCAGACATATATTTTGCCAGTCAGGTATTTCATTTAGGAACATTCTGAAAATCCATGCCCTCTTCTGACCCGGGAATTTGGGGGGTTGTATGCCAATGTTCTCCTTTCAATAAGATCTGATTATATAAGCATTAGGGACTGAGGCCTTATACTATGTGATTTTAATTCATCTGCCAATACTGACTGTGTGAGTAACTCCCGAGGAATTGTTAAAATCAAGGAAGCAGTGATCATGTTTTTGACAGCTCACTGAATTTGAAGTCAGAAGATGCTGGGTTGAAGTGTGTCTCTGCCAGCTTTCTATTTGAATGACCTTGGGCACAGCTACCTAATCATCTGTGGTCTCCCTTTCCTTTCTGATGAAATGAAGATACATAGGGTTAGTGTGAGGATGAAGGGGTGTGCATAAACATACTCCATAAACTCTGAAGCACTACAGAAACATAAGACAGACTAAAGGAATGTATCCAGCTTAATTTGAATTTGCATTTTAACTTTAGTTTTTGATTTTATATTACAAAATAGTATGTAAAATTCTAGAGCATTGGTAGACAAAATGGGGGGACTACAAAGCCCTCCAAAGATCTACCAGACTGAGACAGCGGTTAATACTTCGATGGATACATTTTATACTCTCTATGCATATTCTAATCTGTGCATTTATAGACATACACCATCAAAACTCGGTTCCAACAGTTTGGTTCTCAACCAAGTTGTTCATGAAAAAAAGTCTCAGTTGTCAAACAAAACTTTGATTCTCCACCCAACAACCCTTTCATGCTGACACCTGTATGATCAGTCATGCATCTCTTAGGTGACAGGCAAAGGAGATTCAGTTTTTGAAAAAGCTGCTTCTCAAACAGCCTTATGGAATGAATTAAGTTCAAGAACCATGGTTCCACTATATGCATTTTTTACATTAGAAATGGGTTCATCTTGGGTGTTTGTTTAGTCATTTTATTTTTATGACATAAATCCCCTAAAAGCAGAGGCCCCTAATCTTTTTGGCATCAGGGACCAATTTTTCCACAGACGAAGTGTGAGGGTGAGGTGGAACAGGAGGCTGAGCTCAGGAGGTGAAGTGAGTGAAGCTTCCCTGGCTCACCCACCACTTGCCTCCTGCTGTTCAGCTGGGTTCCTAACAGCTTGGGTCGGGGGCCTCTGCCTAAAAGTACAATTGCTTGGTTCAAGTAATTATCAAGTCTTTTGCTATACATTGATATATAGAGATACACACACACACACATATATATATAAAATGAGAACTAGAAAATGTGCTATCTTCTCAGCCTGCTGAAGTGTGACCTTGTGGTAATTTAATATTCTGAATCACTTCAGAAGCTTCATCAAAGGCACATTCAGAAATGAACTTGATGTATATATGCAGTTATGCTTGGCACTGTTTGTAATTGCATGATAGGAAAGACTAGTGTTTGTTAACAAGGAACTGGTTAAATAAACTTGGGTACATCCAAACCAGGGAATATTGTATAGTTGTACAAAAGAATGAGGAAGATCTGTATACTTATGTGAAACCGCTTTAAGATATGTTTTGATTTTTACAAAGGAATAAGTTATGGAACAATATGTTTAGTGTGCTTTTTGTGTTGAGAAAGAAAAAAAGGTAGAATAAAAATATGCAGTTATATTTGCTTATAATTGCAAAAAGAAATCCTGAAGTGTTATATAAGATGTGGAAGTGGGATTTTCTTTACATATATTTATATATGCATATGAGGTTTGTCCAGAAGGTATCTGGCCATGTAATGTGAAACATAGAGACATTTATTGAAGAAGATAAAGATAAAAGAAACATGTTACATAGGACAGTGATGCCTCAGTCCCCTTCAAAGTAGCACCTTGGAACCTTACACAGTTCTCCCAATTGCCATCAACTGCCCTGTCATATTTTCTTGAATCTTATGGATGGTCTGAAATCTCTTTCTTCTCAAAGGTGATTTTAGTTTTGGGAAAAGTCAGAAATTGCAAGGTGCCAAATCTGGGCTGGAGGGGGGCTAAGTCACCTGGGCGATTTGATGTTTTGCCAAAAACTCTGTAGGAGATGTGATACGTGAGTGGATTTGTGATGAAGCTGCCAATCACCAGTTGCCCATAGTTGTGGCCTTATCAATCATCCAGATAGTTTCTGTGGAAGAATGTTCAAGCTTAATGCAAAATATGATACAAATTTTTTGCTCTACTCAGTCATTTTGAATGCAACGGCCACACAGTACACATGCTCACTCAACTGTGTCTACCACCCCCCCTTAACTAGTACAGTGAAGTCATCATTGTTCACACATGCACATTCTAGTCCATCCTCCTTGGATGCCAGGTTACATTGATGTTACACAATCCATTCTCTTTATATTAATAGCAGCTGGACTTTTTCTGGACAGACCTCTTACATGTACATATATACATACATATGTATTTAATCCTCACCTGAGAATATGTTTGTTGATTTTAGAGAGAGAGGAAGGGCAAATGAGAAAGGGAGAGACATCGATGTGAGAGAGAAACATCAGTCAGTTGCATCCTATACCCATCCTGTTTGGGGATCAAACCCACAACTTAGGTTTGTGCCCTGACTAGCAATCAAACCCTCAACTTTTTGGTGCACTGTGGGTGCAACTTTGCCCGCAAGTCCCGCCCCCTCCACCACAGATGAAAATAAAACTACCAAGACATGATCTGCTTGGGGAGGAGAGGTGGCCAGTCTCTCACAGGAGAAGGACCAAGAACCCCTTCCTCAACGGCTTTTAATAAGTTCAGAGCACTCAGGAATACAGATAAAGTTGATCAGTCAATGTCAGGCAGCAAGGATCAAACAATAGATAACATTTCAAGGAGATTTGAGGGTTTCATCTCAGTCAGTGTGTGTCAGGTAAGGGGGCTGCAAAAACTTTGGGAGACATACTCATTTCCTGCTTGGACTCTTATCATAGGAATGAAAGCACTCGTAGCAAAGCAGACTTCACAGAACTTTAGGAACTCTTTCTTATGCCCGATCACCCTAGAACTCGCTCTAGCCAGAAGAGGACTGCACCACCCTCCCTGTCATAGGTTTTTATGCTTAAGTGGATTAGAGCCAGGAAGCGCTTCTCCAAGATGGAAATGGGGACTCAGACTGTGTCAGAATAGCCAGGGGGTGAGGGTCCATCACTCCCTCTTTGTTTCAGCCCCCCAAGTCCTTCCTTGAGGGCCTCCCAAGTGATTGTGTCTGGATTAGGTTGCCCCTCCTCTGAGGGGTCTTACCCGTCACTGACTAAGGGACCAAGCGCTGGGGGCAGAGATGGATGAAGCAGAAGCGGCGCTCCTGCCAGAAATAAGCTTTGTCTCCTTAGTGGCTCACAGTCCTAAGTGGCTCGCACTCAGCCTGATCCATGGGGGGAAGTTACAACTCCTGAAACCAGGCAGAGCGGTTCCCGACATTGCATAGTGCTGTTCCAACCAACCGAACCACCCAGCCAGGGCTATTTATATATTTTTAATTTTTTTTGAATTTTTTGAAGTGT